GTGGGGTGGGGACACAGCGGGAAGGGACAGTCGGGGCACCTCGGCACCTCTGGGGTGTCACCACAGCACCCCACAGGTGTCCCCAGGGTGGGGACACTTTCCCCGGTCCTTGTGGGTGCGGTCCCCAGGAGGGGACACCCTCGCAGCCCCACATTGTCCCCCTGTCCCCACGAGAGACAGACGTGGCTCCTGTGCCACCCTGCCTGTCCCAGTGCCACACAGCTGTCCCCTCCTGAGCCGGTGTCACCCACACATCCAGCCCTGTCACTCCCGCCTGTCCCAGTGTCACCCCTCTGTCCCTTCCTGTCCCAGTGCCACCCGTCCCTGTCACCTCTGCCTGCCCCAGTGTCACCCCTCTGTCCCCGCCTGTCCCAGTGCCACCCACCCGTCCCTGTCACCCCTGACGGCCTTCGTGTCATCCCTCTGTCCCTTCCTGAGCCGGTGTCACCCACACATCCAGCCCTGTCACCCCTACCTGTCCCAGTGTCACCCACCAGTCCCTGCCTGTCCCAGTGCCACCCACTCGTCCCTGTCATAGCTGGCTGCCCTTGTCACCCCTCTGTCCCTTCCAGTCCCAGTGCCACCCACCCCTGTCACCCCTCCCTGCCCCAGTGTCACCCCTCTGTCCCCGTACCTGCTCCAGTGTCACCCACACACTCCTGCCCCGTGTCACCCCCTCGTCCCTGCCACCACGACCACTCTGCTCGGGGACAGAGGGATGTCCCCCCCTCCCCGGTGTCCCCGCAGTGTCCCCGCGGTGTCCCCGTGTCCCCCACTCACTCAGCCGGGGGTTGCTGTGGAAGTCGCGGGTCACGGCCAGTCCGTGCTCGCGGGCGGCCGCCAGCTCTGTCGCCGCTGTTGTCACCTTGGTGGCGGCCATGGCCTTGTCCCTGTCCCTGTCCCTGTCCCCGTCACGGTCACGGTCACGGTCCCGCCGGGGCAGGACACGGCAGCGCCTCGGGTTTTGTAGCCCCGGCCCGGCCCCCGCTGGTCCCGCCCCGCCCGCGACACCGGCGACACCGGCAGCGAAGGTGACACCGACAGCAAAGGTGACACCGACAATAAAGGTGACACCGACAGCAAAGGTGACACCGACAGTAAAGGGGACACCCACAGTAATGGTGACACCGACTGTAAAGGGGACACCCACAGTAATGGTGACACCGACAGTAATGGTGACACCCCCAGCGCCGCGACACCGGCGACACAGGTGGCCCCGTGTTGGGTGTAAACAACGGGAGGGAGCGGCTGGAGCCGGGATGGGGGCAGGGAATGGGATCGGGAATGGGAATGGGAATGGGAATGGGAATGGGAATGGGAATGGGAATGGGATTGGGAATGGGATAAGGGATAAGGGATAAGGGATAGGGACGGGAAATGGGATACGGGATATGGGATATGGGATATGGGATATGGGATATGAAATAAGGGAGGGGATCAGGACAGGGACTGGGATAAGGAATAGGGAGAGAGAGGGATAGGGATGGGGAATGGGAATGGGATAACGATAGGGAGGGAGAGTGGGAATGGGGACAGAGATAAAGGACAGGGATAAGGGGTATGAGATAAGGAATGGGATAGGGATAAGGGATAAGGATGGGAATAGGGATAGGGAATGGGACAGGGATATAGGGATAAGGGATGGGGTAGAAATAGGGATAAAGGACAGGGATAAGGGGTGTGAGACGGAATGGCTTAGGGATAGGGACAGGGATAGGGACGGGGATAGGGACAGGGATAGGGACGGGGATAGGGACAGGGATAGGGACAGGGACAGGGATGGGGATAAGGAATAAGAACAGAGATAACGAATAAGAATAGAGATAAGGGGCTGGGATAGGGATAAGGAATAAGAAAAGGGATAAGAGATCGGGGTGGGGATAGCAGGACAGCCCTAAGGGATGGGGATGGGGGTCGGGATAAAGGATAAGGAGAAATTAATGGGGATAAGGGGTTGGGATAAGGAATAAGGAATAAAAATAGGGATAAGGGGTTGGGATAAGGAATAAGGGTCTGGAAAAAGGGGTGCACAGAGCAGAGCGGGCAGTGGTGGCCCTAGAAACGTCACCCTGCGATGTCACCCCCGGGCCCGGTGACGGGGACCCCACAGGGGGTGGAGGAGGAGGAGGAGGAGGAAGGAGGCAGGACGTGACTTTTATTAACATCAGAAACCATAAAACCCCACATTTTTCCTTAAAATTTTACATCCCGTTGGTTTCCCAGACTGGAGGAGCCCCTGGCACCGGGTGGGACAAACCGGGGGTGTCCCCACACTGTCCCCAACCCCCTTTTGGGAGAAAGGAATTTTGGGAAAGCTTCGGGTGGGATTTTTTTTTTTTTTTTAATTTTTTTGCGGAAGCGGATTTTGGGGTCAAATGAGCAAAATGAGCGGCCCGGGATTTCGGGATCATCGGAGCAGGCAGGAAAACCCCAAGGATATTCCCATATTCCCAAATCCAACTTCCCGAGCTTTGTTTTCCCCAAAATGTTCCCAAATCCCCTCCGGCCAAGGAGGTTGAGGGGTCCGGGGATCATTTCTGCACCAGATTCCTCCCGGTGAACTCAGGAATTTTCCAGGTTGGGAAAATCCCTGCTGGAATCGGGCTGGGAAAAGGGAAAAACAAAATCCGAGGGAGGCTCGGGTGGGGTTGGGGACAGAATTCCCGAGGTGGGGACACGGCCACTTCCCTGTCCCGGCTCCTCCTGGATCGGGATGGGAGAGAAAAAAAAAAAAATCGATTTATGTTGATTTATGGGATCAACATAAATTAAGGGATGAGGGGGATGAGCCTGGAAAATCCCAAACATCGCTGGAGCAATTCCAGGCGAATTCCAGGCGGTGTGGGGGAGGGGACAGGCAGGATTGTCACCTGTCCCTGCCTCAGTTTCCCAGCCCGAGCCCTCCCCTTGAAACGCTCCAAAGGGAGAGGAGCAATAAATAACAATTCCCTAAAAAATAATAAATTAAAAAAAAAAAAAAATGACGGGAAGCTTCTCATAAAATCATTTATTTTAAATATTTCCCTGCAAAATCCTGGGAAGTCGCGGGCCCGGGGGATTTGTGTCCCCATCGGGGGATGCTCAGTGTTAATGATCGTTATGAATTAATTGATGAATTAATTAATCAACAGCTGCGGGTTTGGGGGTGTGGGGGGGAGCCCCCAGGGCACGGCCGGGGTGTGGGGAGGGCGCTCGGGGTGTCCCCATGGTCCTGGGGACAGCGGGGACAGCAGGGGGGTGGCACTGAGGGGTGGTGCCACCTCAGGGTGTCCTGGCAAGGTGGTGACACCGTGGGGTACGTGGTGATGTCATCTCAGGGTGTCCTGGCATGGCGGTGACACCACAGGATGACAAATTGATGCCACCCGAGGACACCTGGGCAAGGTGATGTCACCTCAGGGTGTCCTGCCATGGTGGTGACACCGCAGGACACCTGGGCCAGGTGATGCCACCCCAGGATGTCCTGGCAAGGTGACACTCACACCACAGCCCTCCCCCTGTCCCCAAGGGCCACCTCATGCCGCGCCCCCCCGGTCCCCAAGGCCACCCTCAGCCCCGCAGGAAGCCACTGCCACCCCCTGGGACAGCTCTGGGAAGCGACCCCGGCTGTGACAGGTGACAAGGGGGGTGTGGCGGGTGGCAGGTTGGGGACACTGCGGTGCCACCCCAGATTTGGGGGCGCTGCTGGCAAAGCCCCCCCCTGGGTGGGACCCGCCCCGCCTCAGAGGGGCAGATGCCACTGTCACAGCTGTCCCCAGCTGTCACCCGGCGCGGTGCACGGTGACCCACAGCCCCTCGGGGGGGTCTGAGGGGATCCCCGTGGGATTTGCCGGCCCCAGAACGGGGCAGGGCCGTGTTTGGGTTCTGGAGGAGCCTGGGGCTGTCCCAGGGGTGGCAGCAGCCGCTCGTTCCCATCACGGGGACAAGTGACGGGGTTGGGGACATCAGCCAGGACCCCGCGGTGACCTCAGCCAGGACACTCCGCACTTCTCCGAGGACACCGCGGGGACAGAGGCCGGCGCCACCTCGCGCTGTCCCTTTTGTCCCCTCCCCTCGTAGAGACACCCGGGACAGCCACCATCACCCCCCTACCCCCCGTCCCCCCCTTTCGCTGCTCCTGTCCCCTCCCGGCCATCCCTGGAGCCCCGGTGACACAGGACCCCCCCCCAAGTGCCACCAGCTTGGTGACACCCACGACTCCAGCGGCCGCGGGGGGAGCTGCCACTCCCACGGGGGGACAATTTGGGGTTGGGATTGGAGGAGCGGGGGGGAGGGGAGGAGGTGACACTTTTTGACACCGTTTGTTTTGTTATTGTGGTTTGGGGGGGTTTTTTTTTGTTTGTTTGGGGTTTTTTTTTGGGGGGGGGGGTGTGGGGGGATGTTTTAAGGGCTCGGCTTCTTGCTGGGTATAGAATTGTCCTTCCTCTCCAGCCGCGTGTAAGGCTCGAACGCGGACGCTCCCGGCCCGTAAGCACCGGGCACATCGTGCAGGCTGCCCAGCAGCGGCCCCCCAAAACACAGCGGCCTCCCCGGCAGCCGCGGCGACGGCGACGACGATGAGGATGAAGAGGAAGAAGCGGCGAGAGACGGGACGTGCAGGCTGAAAGGCGCCGGTTTTGAGGGGCTGCTGCCACCCCCCAACCCCGGCGATGCGGGGCCAGCAGTGGCCAAGCCGGGACCAGCAGTGGCCAAGCCGGGGCCAGCAGCGCTCCCCGCGGGGCTGGGGACGGGGTTGGAGGTTGGGGACAGGAGGCTCGGGGGGGCCGGCACGGACAGGAGGCGGCCCTGCTCCAGCAGCCGCAGGATGTTGCAGGTGGCGAAGGACTCGGAGGTGCTGGAGGAGCGTTTCTCAGAGTCCCTGCTCTGGTCCTTCTTCTGCTTCGTGCGGCGGTTCTGGAACCACACCTTGACCTGGGGGAAGGGGTGGGAAGGGTCGGGGAGGACGGGGGAGGGACGGGACAGGAAGGCACGGACGGAAAGAGAGCGCGGGGGGGGCCGGGGAGAGAGAGGCGAGAGCCAGGAGAGAGCGAGAGATACGAGAGAGAGAGAGATGTATTAAAATAATCGCCCAAGCCAGATCCGCCCTCCGCTGCCGCCGGCCGCTTCCAGGGAAAGGGAGAATTCCTGCGGGACCGGCAGGGACAGGGGGCCGGAGCCTGAGGGTGGGATCCCGGGAATGAGAGCACAAGGATGGGACCGGGGACAGGAGATCAGTGACGGGACCGCAGGAATGGCATCCCAGGAATGGGACTGGGGACAGGAGCCCAGGGATGGGAACTCACGGATGGGGTGGCACCCCAGG